TGCATGTCAGAAAAAGGAAGAAGCGAGTAGAACATCACCATAAAACCATGACAATTTCAGTGTAAAACAGTGTGTGGATGATGCTATCCAGACAGTGCACCCCTAGTACCCAATCCCACCCTGTCTCCACTAGAATATCTCTTGGTTCATGGCTCCCTCTCTCTTTTATCCAGCATCCTGTCCAGAGCACCTTCTTTCCTAGAAAGTAGTTATAAAATAGGTATTTCCAGCCTCTAAGAGGGACTCTGATCAAGTAATCCTATGAGGCTGCTGCTTTATGATGCTCAAGATAAATCATTTTCCTTTCATATCTGCCCTCCACCCCCCTCCTCAGTACTAGAGTCACAGGCTACAGGCACTTACAGGTAAATTATGGAATTTCCCACCCTCCCTTCTGGCTACGTCTCCACTGACATCTGTGCAGTGTCAGGGCATGCTCCCAGAAAGCAGACAGTGGCAGGAGGGCAGTGGGTGCCATAACTGGTGTGATTTACAGCCCCATTTTCCTGTGGAGAAGCCCACAGCACTCAGCTCCATCCTTTTCAGCTGCCTCCACACCAGCTAGTAGGATCTGCAGTTTCCCCAAAGCAGAAAGCACACCCAGATTTCCCACTGTACCTCAACAAGTAGAGTTTGGATCAGTGTGTCCCTGTGAACTGTCTCCTCTTCTGGGGCTGTGCTGTCTTCAGCCCCTCTGGTATTCAGTTTGGCCTCAGCAGTAACCTTGAACTTCACTTCACCTGGAAAATCACCCACCAGCCCAAGTAAAGAAGGCTGTCTTCAATGGTCACAGCTACCACTGGTTTCATCACCTCTTCTAGGCTGGGAAATGTGTTCTCTCTGAAGGCAGCTCAGGAGAAACACATTTCCTGAAGGCTCCACATCTGTCTGCTAGTGGTAAGGAGTAGTGGCAGAGCCTAGGGCTCTAGCATGAGGAATGAAATAGGGGTGATGCTGGCCAAAAAACTTGACAGTACTTATTACCAGTTTCCACCCCCTCTGAGTTTTCTCTGCCTAGGGCAGCACTGCAGGAGTTACAGCTCTGCTGCCTCTTCTTCAGGTGGAATTTGTGAACTGAGGGGCACCACTGAGGAGCAGCCTCAGCGTTGCTGCAAGCACTGAGCAGCGATTCCTCTGGGAGCAGCTTTGCAGACCTGGCTCACTTCACCCCTGCAATCATGGCAAATGGGAAATCCAGAAACATTTTTACTTGGAACAAAGTGCATTGTTATCAGAGTTACCAGACAGCAGCTTGCTTTTTTTTTCTTTTCCAGCTCTGCAGTATTATTTTGCTGTTTTCATCTCACTATAATTCTGCAACTTCCTCAGTGAGTCTGAAGGAAATCAGTTGTACCAACTACAGAGTTTTACAAACAATCTTTTAAAGAAAAGATCCATCTGTGCTCCATTTTGGGACGAATCTTTTCTAATTAATAGGTTTTGTACTGCAGCTTTTGGGGCACTTACATATTCAAGCTGTTGTAACTGTTTTTTTATAAGTCAATGTTGACTTCAAGGCAGTGTGGAATGACATAGCTGGAAAATTGGGGAGGAGCAACATCCTCCTTGCCTATAGAGAATACAGTCCAAAATTATTAGCAAATTTTATTCTTACTAAATAGTTGGTTAGATAGAAAATTGCCATCTGAAAGATAACAGGTACCTGAAATCCTGCCAGTATTTCATACATAATATGGCAAGTGAAGAGCTCTTTGTAAAATGGGCAGGGAGTGGACTACCAAAAATCAGAAGAGCTAAAACACCAGAACAATTCACTGCTCATTCAGTGCATCTTAAGGGAGCTTTAGCAGAGGTCCAGTACTAAATTGGTAGAGAAATTAATGGGGCTGACTGTGGATTATTGATGCTGAATCAAAGGGTGGGAGTGACAGAGGTAGAAAGATCAAACAGAGATGTATCAAGGTGAGGAAAAGACAAACTTACCGAGTTTGTGGGGGCTGACAGCCCAGATGTAGGTTTTTCTCTCATTGGCACACAGCTGTGCTGTGTTGCTCTCTGGTAGAAGGATTTCTGCCTTGTAGTCGTTTGACTTTGCCAGTTTGGCACTGATCTGAGACAAAGAAAGAAGCAGCAATATCTCAGATGAAGTGGGCTGCCCCTGAAGTTAGCCTGCAGAGCAAAGGAGACTTGCTGGAGTAGCTATTTGTCATCCCAGCCTGGGGGATGGCACCAGGACAGAAGGATGGAGCATTTCTCTGAGGAAGTGGCAAACCTGTCCCTTTTCTGCCCACTGTTAGTGGCTGGCTTTGACAGAAACCAGTAATATAAGCAATAAGTAATATAATAAGTATAGTAAGGGGCTTGAGCTCATTAGTCAGGTCTTTCTATGAGTTCCTGCTACATGCAGTACACTCAGTGTGTAGTGTGTTTTGCACAGCACAGTACCCACACCCTCTGCCCAAGTTCCTCCTTCAGGAGCACAGAGAAGCACTAAATTATCAGGGGAGGGACTATTCAGAAGGGTCTGTAGTGACAGGACAAGGGGGAATGGCTTTAACCTAGAAAAGGGCAGATTTAGGTCAGATGTTAGGAAAAAGTTCTTCAGTAGGAGGGAGATGGATCCCTGGAATAGGTTGCCCAGCGAGGTGGTGGAGGCCCCATCCCTGGGGACATTCAAGATCAGGCTGGATGAAGCTCTGAGCAGCTTGATCTAGTTGGAGATGTCCCTGCTGATGGCAGGGTAGTTGAACTAGATGACATTTGGAGGTCCCTTCCAGCCCAGATGTTCTATGATTCTATGATTATGAAGGGATAAGGAGCAAGTTCTGTCTTCCATGGACCAGCCACAGTGATCACTGGCCACATTTTCCTAATGTTATGACACAGGAACAGGTCCAGGGAGAGAAGGTGTGTCAGGCTAAAGTGTAAGTTCAACACTTACTTCAGCATTTATGCTACATCATGCAAAGAGTGCTGGGATCTCTGGGACACAAACCAGAGAGGAAGTGGGAGGAAACTTGACATACCTGGATGCATTCGTTGAGGTAGTTGAAGACGTTGGCTATTAAATTAAAACTTTCCCCTCGAGTGACAGAGTATGGAAAAGTGAGATCCACAAAGAATGGCTGGAATGCTTTCAGTGAGACAGGGGAGGAGATGCCAAACCCAGCATCGTCCTGCACACAGAAGGCACTGGCTTTCCACTCTGTGATGGTGTCAGGAATGGTGTAAGAGACATCGACCTCTCCCTCAGAGCTGAGCAGAACAGGAAAACCAGAATCAGAAATGATCTTGGGCATTTTCAAGTCAAACTGTAGATTGCTCCTGTTAATACTTGTGTTCTCATCTCACCTTCTGCAAGTTACCTTTCTGTACTTAAAAAAATACCATACTGCTGGAAGGAAAGATGAAGATGCACCACATGTTAAAAAGTACTTGGAAGAATACTTAGTTTTTTTAATTCATAAATACCATTTTTTTAAATACCATAATGCCCAAACATACAGATTAGAACCAAAAAATTTGGATTAATGTTCTAGAACAGCCCCTGCATGCATAGCTAAGATGGAGCTATTCTCATTGCATATACTGTGATAGAACAAAATATGGAAAGAAGAACAAAATAACCTGAGATTTCTACTGCTGAATTAAAAATTTTATGAAAAATAAGTTTTTCTCCATCTCCATCCCCAAACAAATGCTTTTATTTAACTGTTAGCCCTCATTCTTCCTCCCTCTCAGAAGGATGGGGGCAGAGCACAGAACATGAAATTCACAGCTCAAGGAGGGTTAACACTGTGGAAAAGGTTGGGAGCTCAATGGTCATGGAGCAAGATGGGGAAAGGAGACCTCTACCTACACAGCAGATACATGTTCCACAGCTTTTTCTCAGAATTCATTTAAGCAACATGTATGAACTCAACAATCCATATGGGAGGTAAGAGGTGAAGGTACAAATACTCAGTCTGTATGACCCACCACTCACTCACTCTGTAGGATACTCACTTTGTATGAACCAGGTCCCAAATCCAAGTCTCAGGGAAGAACTTTCTAACAGTGTTACGAATGCTCCCACCAAGAATCCTTGACTCATCTAGAAGATTGTGTGTGGTTAGAGTAAAATATTAGTGAGGTGAGGCCAGAAGAATCTGAACTGTTGTCAGACATGGTCAACACCACAAATGAACATTAAGTTTGAGCATTTTTCAATTCATTTTCCCATGAAAATAGAGAATTCTAACAGCTATAGTGTATGGGAAGAAACAGTTACTTATCTATTCTCTTTTCCCATGGGTGACCACTAGAAAATGTACTTATTATGCAAGGCCTTTCACTTAATTTCATGTTGAAAAGTTTCATCACCCAGTTAGAAAGGCATGTTCCCCATTCTCTGCCACTAGCTCTGTTTGATTTGCAAATGGGAACAGCAGCCACTGTTGTTACCAAAGCTTCTAATGCTTCACAAACCTCCCTGAGAACTCAATAATTTTTACCCTGTTCAGTAGTTAAATCTGAGGCTGAATACCCACTTCAGTGAAAAAACACCTTTGTTCATATAGTCAAACTGCAGGTCTGCTATTAAGAAACAGTTTCATATTCCCATTTTCCCATGGACTTACTTGTGATGTCCAACATCTCTTTTAGCATGGGTCACCTCAGATTTCCCAGCTGTGCCTTACTTTGCTGGACTTAGAATCACAGAATCACAAAATCATTGAAAAAATATAGATCAAGAGGAACCCCTGGAATTCTTTAGTCCAATGTCCTTGAAGCAGGACTGACTTCAAAGTCAGATCATGTTGCTCAAGGGCCTTGTCCAGATCAGTTTTGGAAAATTCCAAAATGTCCCAGGGAAACTCTTCAAGTGTAACACAACTCTCATGGGGAAGAACTTTTCTAGTGCTGAATAACAGTTTTCCTTGTGGCAACATGTGACTGCTGCTTTTGCTCTTCCCATGAGCAATCTGACTTGGGCAATGATAATCATAACTCTTGCTGATCTCTAAAGGCTCTGGAGACAGTGTGCTAAGTGTCCTAAGGGCTGTGTGAATTCTTAACAATGGGAATTGCCATTATTTCCCTGCACTGGCATTTCCTTTAATATACTTCATTGAATTGTGATTTGATGAAAGGTTCTCATGTGCCAAATCTTGAAAAACTAGTATTAGTTGATGATAGAACATCCCAGTATTCCCTGTCTTTTCTATAGACACTCTGTACCTCAGTGAGAGAGAACTGATGCTGCTGCAAGGCCTGTCAGAAAGAGGTTACTAGAGGCAAACTGGGACACAGAGACCTATTCCCCAAAAAAACTTAGAATGCTGGCTGTTATTTTATACAGGCAACAGTTTTGTAGACCAGGTAGGCAGGGCTGGAGATGCAGTATGAACATTCTTTTACCCATTCCATGGCCCATCTCAGGGACAGCACCATAGTCAAAAGAGACAGGGCGAGCTTCTGTATCTGCTTTGCCTTCATTGCACAGAACTGGCTTCCTCAGGGCAGTGTTGGTGAAAACCTTCAGGCCCATATCCTGAATGGGAAAAGATCAATCATGTCACTCAAGGCATCCACTAGTTACCAGCACATGCCACTTCTCCCACCCCAGTTATCAGACCTCATCTCTCTCCTCCCTCCTCACATCCCACCCTTTCAACCCTGAAGGTCACAACTCCAGGCTCTATGTCTATCTTACAGAGCAGTGACATCTGGAGTTCTGTGAGGAACCAAGGCCATGGTCCTGCTTAGGAAATGTCTACTGAATGAAACATCAATACACCTAGTGGTGATTTTCAGTCTTCCTGAGGAAGAGGTGGGAATACAAAGGCAGAAACTGGGTGATCAGAGACTTCAGGCAGTGCCAGGCACCAGCTGCCTTCTCTTAGCAGTAAGAACCCTGACCTGAGAAAGCTGAATGCTCAAGTGCATGAATTCCTCTGGAATACCTCCCACTTAGGGAACACACAGAGCACATACCCTGAAGACACTGTAGGCATCACCATCACGACTGACATTCACAGGCTCGTAATATAAGCCATCAAAAAAGGTGGTTTTGATTGGGATGCACTCCTCTGGCTTGTCATCTTCCAGGTTGAGCCCATTGTGGTAGTAGCCATACAAATCACCCACGTGCAGCTGGTAGTACACCTGGGAGGTGAGAGTGAGCAGGGTAAACACAAAGAAGGTCCCAGGCAGGTGAAAAGTCACATCTGTTCAAAGGGTATGGTGGCCCCTGAGCAAACCTGTACACTGTGGTGGGTTTGCTAATAAGATTTTGATTAGGGTGAGATTTTGATTAACCAGGGAGCAACTGTGCTTTCAAGAATTTCCATCAGCCATATTCTTGGGCTATGTCTTACACTGCTGTGTTTTCCCAAAGTAAATGCTCCACTGTCTTTGAAGCATCCAACTGCCAGAGACCTTTCTTTAATCATTGAGATGTCTGTTTTCCAAGGGAAAAAGAAAAGTACAGCCAGCAGCAGAGAGATCACAGGTGGGGACTGGAATGTCATTCTGGATATCCCTAGGTCAAAAAGAGCACAGGCCTGGGGGTGTGGCTTACTCTCTCAGCAGATAGCTCTCGTGCAGGATGAAGGAGAAGGACACTCTGATCTACAGCTCGCAGGGCACAGTAGGAGTTGGCAGCAGCTTCAAGGTGGAGGTTGACTTTAGAGCCTGGGAGACCCTGCTCCTCTGAGAACTCGAGCTGGAGCTAGAAATCAATAAATCCAAGACAATCATACAGAAATTAAAAGAATCAGCTTGGTACTTAGCTCTAAATCTCACCTTTCACCAGCACTCACCCTGTTCTCTGTTAGGCAAAGCTCCTACCACTAGACAGCCTTTCTGAATCCCTGTTCTGTAAAAATTCACAGTCTCTGTAATTCCCTCTTCACCTCCCACTCCCCATGCCACTGAGAACTTAGTATGAGTCTGGGCATAGATGCCAAGGGCACATCTGTACCTTTTCCATTCCTAAATGCCACCTCGAGTGCAGGGTTCCTGAGGAAGTCATTCCCTAGCTGTTCTCTCAGCAAAAAGCCAGCTGCTAGAGCCCTGGATAAGAAAGCAAAGCTCTTCACCTTGTTTTTGAAGCACACATCACTATGTATCCAAGAGCTGTCAGCCACTATCTCCCCACGAGGATGCACTGTGTAGATCAGCAGCCTGGCACTGGGGGCAAGCTTTTCAGTGACAGTCAATGGGATGCTGAATGTACCTGCAGGAGCCATGGAAGGAACATGAAAGAGGGGAGGAGAAGCCAACAAAAGACATTAGACAAACCTCGGGTTGATGGAAGGACCACATATTTATCCACAACCTACCAACAGCTTTAAAACACAAGGAAGTTGACTACTGGAAGATTCATCTCCCAGTGGCTGATGAACAACTCCCATCAGCAAGACAACAGAAACAAACTGGAGGATGCTGAGGGCAGGGTGCTGTGCACAGAGGGGTCTGATCTGAGGGGAAGGTGGACAGGGAAATCTGTGCATGATTGCTATGAGAAGAACACAATATTGCCTTTGGATCTCAAACCTAGAACCTCCTACACCAGAGGAGGCTGGACAATCTCCTGAGCAAAGGGAGAGTTCTCTCAACACTAAGAAATACAAAGTTCTTATCTACATGGATGATAACTACTAAAGCAGGGGCAGGAAATTAATCTTCAGACCAAAGATGGCAAGTAACACACAACAAGTCCTATATGTGGAATGAACTTTACTTAAGATAGACCAGTTTCTGCAAGAAAAGGTATTTTTAATAATGAAAGAACCAGGTTTGTGTTGCTGTAGTTGGTAGGATCATTGCCATTTATGGATGTGTGGAGAATTCTGAAAGTGCAATGAATTCCAAGTCATTAACTGCTAAATTATTAGCAGCTATTATTTCAAACTTCAAAAAGTTTTAATCTTCTAACTGGTGATGACTAAAATGTCACAGAATAACTGGGACACTGTAAATACTCCTTGGCAAGAAATAAAACAGAAGACAGGCACATTCCTTCTGTTTGGTCACATCAAATATTTCATCTTCCAACTAACAAGATAAAGGTGATTATGGTACAGGGGATTGACTAGATGCTGAAGCAAAAGGAAACAATACTGTGAGTGGTCACAGGTCATGGAGTTTAAGAGCCAGTACCTGGTTTAGCCACAGTGATCTGCTTTGATCCCTTCTTACAAAACTTACTAATGCTCTGGTGCTCAAAATGATGCTCTGAAATATCAGTAGTAATACGGTCTAGAACTTACCATCAGGGATGCTGGCTTGCTGCAGGCCACTGAGAACAACTTTTCCTTTTGTCATCATCTGGGCATAGAAAAAAACCTCATGAGACAGGATCAAAAGCACCTCTTCCCTGCCTCCATGAAATCATTGATTTTGAGTAGTCTTCTGAGAGGCTTTAAAGACCAGCAAGTCAAGCTGTGAACTGTAACCACTGTCTGCTCTGGAGATTTCTGCCTTACATGGTGTTCAAAAGAAAGAGAAAGGAAAGAGATGTTTTGGGAGTCAAGGTAGCACTTACCACATAGTAGAAGTTTGTGTGTTTGGCATTCCTATCAGGACATAGTGAATGTTGATCATTTGCTGCTGGCCACAGCTGAGCTTCTCCTTCACTGGCTCAATTCTCACAAAGCTGTTGGTCCATGAGTAGAAACGCCGGACAAAAAATGAGGCTTGGGGCTCATTCTCATTCCTCCAGATGAAGAAGTCTGCACAGTCATCTGGTGCCTGTCTCACCTATGAAGTAGAAAAGACATATATGGGGAATCAACAGAGTGAAATATAAAAAAAATTACAGGCAGGTGAGAGGCAAAGGCAAATTCCCTCTAAAATATTCTCTTGAGAAGCTGATTTTGTGGGGCTGAGTCAAGAGCAAGAGCTGGTGTGAAAAATTTGTGCTTTACCAGGGGACCTTCTGGACACTTGAACCTATTCAGACACCTATGGCACATTGAGGTAGGAAGGATCATTGAGATTCTTGCAGGCTTGGGACAGGTCATATAAAATGCTAGGACTTATTGTGAGTTAGAATGGTTCTCAAACAACCTCGTGTTTCTGAGCTCTCCCCATCACACCAGCTAAAAGGCAGGACAGCATGTGATGGTAGCAGGCAGGAGTCCCTGCCTGCAGAGATGCAGGGAAGCAGGCAGCAGCAGGGAAAGAGG